GGGGGGGGGCTCTCGCCCCCCCCCCCCCCCCCTTTCCTTCCCTGCCAGGCCAGTGCTCGGAACAAGGGTCTGGTAGGACTGTTAGGTCCCCACGTTTTTACCCCCCACTTTTTGGGACTGAGGTTCCCCCTTAAAATTCCTACCAGACCTAAAGGGTCTAGTAGGGTTTTTGGGGGGAGCCCTAGGCCCTTTTTTTTTGTTTTACCTTGGGGGAGGGTCCCTCCTAACATTCCTAGCAGACCTAAAGGGTCTGGTATGAATTGGGGGGGGGACCTCACGCTTTTTTTTTTTTCATCTCCTGCAGACTGTAAAAAAAACAAATTTTTTTTTCTAATGTCACTTTGCTGCTAACGAAATTTTGTCCAATAAACAAAATTTCGACCGGACTACCGCTAATGAATTTCATCCGAATCCCGAAAAAATTCAATTGTGGACCCGAATCCGAAAAACGATTACTGCTAACGAATTTCGTCCAAATCGCGCAACGAATTCAATTGCGGACCCGAATCCGAAAAATGAAATATGCAAAGTCCGAATCAAAACTAAACAAAAGAAATTTTTTGCTGGCGCACATGTCTAATGTACAGTACAGGCAGTCCCCGAGTTACATACATCCGGCTTACATACGACTCCTACTTACAAACGGAGGCTATTACTGTACAGCAGGGGTAGTTATAATGCTACCGCGCTCATGCCGACGAGGAGTGCCCGTCTTTTTGGGTCTGGTTCGTAGTACTGTACGTACATTACAGGAAGTTGGCTCTTGTTAGACGTGCAGACGAGGGGTGCCCACCTCTTCTTCCGGGTCACTGTGAGGTTTTTACTGCTGTCTATGTCCTCATTAGAAAGATTTAATTTCACTTTCTGTACTGGAGACAACAGGAAGTGAAAGGAAATCTACCTCTAGGAAGGGAAATTCACTCCTGTAAGAGTTATCGTGGGAAAAAGCTGTCTCCACTGAAGCTTTATCACCAATCCTTGTTTCCAAGACAACCCAAAATTTTCAAAATCCAATTGTCACAGGGACAGAAAGTGAGGTGAAATCTTCTGAACCCGGGGAACACACAAAAGAACAAACTATAAAGTGGGGTTAACCGTTCCCTATGCTATCCAAAACGAAACAATTTTGGCTGAAAAAACCTACAGACCCTATCTTGTTTGTAACTTGGGGACTGCCTGTATATCATTATGGAGTTTCACCACTTGAAGTAAAATGCAGACATAACCAGGAACATCGACCTGAGAATTGTAGTTTCCAAAAGACAAAAATCTTGTAGTAGTCTATTTTACATTCAGGGAAACTTACATGGCAGCGAGCATGCAGAATGATGAAACGCACATCATCCATTCGGTTCTAGAGTTTCAGCAGAGCTGAGAAAAGCATTCTACATGGATCACGAGCCAGCTTTGGGCTGTTATGGCATTTGAATGAACATCAGATGATTTGCCAGACCAGTTTCCTAAAAAAAAAATGAAAAAAAATTCCCACTACCAGGCAGATACCAGTCCTATAAAGTCACTCAGATAGACTGATATCCCCATACAAACCTTGTTCTCTTGTTCTGATGGAGGGAAATTCCTTACCCATTGACAATGATGTTCAGTTCCCTAAAAAGTGTTTTATTTAAAAATAAACAACACAACCCCATAAAACAGGCCATGTAACAATGTAAAACAAAATAATTGCCATCAAGAGTTAAAGGAAATGTGTAACAGTTTTGTATATCATTTATTTATGCTCAAGGCATAAATAAATGCTCTTTTTACTTGGGTAAATATTCATTATTTTTAGCTTCCTTTAAAATTGTTTCTTTAAAAAAATAAACAACACAACCCCATGTAACAATTTTGTTTTGCAGAATGTAATAAATAAATAAATAAATCATTGTCATCAAGAGTAAATTTAAAGAAAATGTTTAGCAGTTTTGTATATGTTTTCTTTATGTTCAGGGCAAAATACAAAAAAAATTATACATTTATTTCTCTTCAGTTGGGTAAATATGAAATGTTGCATGTCTATTTTATATTTACCACTTGCAGACAACTGGGGATAAACTCGAAGCTACTCTTCACCACTTTTCCTTCACCACTTTGTTAGTATGGATTTTTAATGAGGTGATACAAAATGTGAGCAGGCAGTACTGGGAGTTAGTTATTTTCCTGCATTTGATGCGCCTTTCAGCACAAAACGAAATCCCATAGACCTTAATTGACTAGTACACACGGCAGTTCAGTAGTTGTAGTTTCACCTGGTTTGCATTGTGCTGCCTTTCTTCAAACACAACATGTCCTAACAAGGTACATTTGAACTTGAAGCAAAGCAGGACAAATGCATCTCATTCTTCACAAATCCGTTTTCCATTCAAAAGAAGCGTTCAGATGGAAAGTGCTGTGTTTTGAATAGAATACCCGGTGGCATGAACCCTAACTTGTGTATTGATAAAATAAAGCTTTTTTCAGGCAGTAAATACATTATATAAAGAAATCAGTTTTTAAAGGTTAAAACATTGACCATGCAAGCCTTATGGTTTTTTATTTAAAAAAAAAATCCCTGGGTGTTAACTATGTGCCAACTTCAGCATTATTGGGTTTTCCTATAGGGTGCTGGGAATTCTCCATGCTGTCAGTAGGTCATTTGTGGTTATTTAGCTGTTTACAATTGTAACAAATAGCACCAGTTAAGATACAATTTATATTATTGTAAATGCCCTTAAGGAGCCTGAAAGGAAGCCTGTATATAACTGGCTGCAAAAACTATGTTCTCAGTATTTACATTGAATCGATATACAACATTTTGGGAATACTGTAAATATTCTGTTGTCTTGTTTTTACGCAATCAATCTCAGGATGAAGGTCTCCTATCGAGGTCATTTTCTTCATAACATATATCCCAATGCTTATATAGATTCTCCAGAATTCAGATCAACAGAAATGGCAAGAGGTGAAAAATTCCAGGTAACTTTCCATATCAGTTGTTTGTATAGCCACAGATTCCAATGATGGCATGTGATAATGAGAGTAAAAACAGCTGTTTTATCCCCAATTCTCAGTGCAACGCATAGTCAAAATGTGTGCTGATCTTAGCTGGTGTTGTATATTTTTATATAGCGTTCTAGTACCTAGTCACTACTGAAAGTCTCATATTGTGTTAAAGCCCATCTCCGGGATAATATTAACTGCCCTCCCACCACTCCCTAATATCATCCTTGAGATGGCCTTTAATTATGCCTTACTTTATAGCCTATAGTAACCTGTTTAGCCTCTTTATCGTCATATACAGCATGTCTTTAGGCCACCAAACAGCTTTGTTTTTAAAGTAGTCTGCGGTATGGAGCTTGGATGGCGATAGTATGGGCATTGCCTCAAAAATCTTGTTATAATCCACTACTGGTATAGTGTGTTTTGAACTGTAGATCTAGTTTGTGTGCCTTGTGCAATAGTATACATTCCTATATAGATATTTTCATTTCCTTTAATAGTTACGGGAGCTGTTTTCTTTTTTTTACTCATCTTAGGTCACAATCACAGCAGATGATACCTGTGAATTTCTGTGCTGGTCTCGGGAAAGACTAACATATTTTCTGGAGTCCGAACCATTCCTTTATGAGATTTTTAAGTATATGATTGGCAGAGACATTACAAATAAGCTGTATTCACTGAATGACCCCACATTAAGTGACAAGGTAAGGGTGTGTTTATTATTTCTTATGCTGGCGTGAGAAGACTTTTTGCAGTAATTTGGATGACACGCATTAGCCTTTCTCACAGGGTAGAATTCTATGTTAATGCTTAATACAGATAAGCTGACATGTTAAAGATGGTGTACTAAGGTTTTTCTGTCATTGTGCAGATCTAAGTACTACGGATATCAGTGGTTTTTATACTTTGATTATAACAACAGGTATGGCTTAATTTGTGTTCCACTGGATCAAAAATGTATTTGGTAGAAGGATGACTATACTTTCGGAAGAGTTGTCCTTCAATCAGTTCCCCCCAGCCAAGAAGCTGAAATGCTTACTTCCCTTCTCAATCCACAATCTTCACTGTGCAGCCCTACCCAGTGTCACAACCCACCTGGTCTTTCCCTTAGGCTGGGTTCACACCTAGGTGTATCGAATATGCGCGTTTGTTGCGCGCTTCGTGCCTCGCATTTTTACCGCAATTCGTGGTAAAAAACGTGCGACAAACGCACGTTCTCGAGGGCTACCTGGCTGTATCCCTGGCCTGGTTCACACCTGGGCGTTTTACAGCACGTTCCTACGCTCTGTAAAACGCTCAACATGAGAAAACCAATGATTGCCTATGGGCATGGTTCCCACCAGGGCGTTTTACAGCGCGTAGGAATGCGCTGCAAAAGGCCCTACGCCCAAAGAAGTACCGGAGCTTCTTTGGGGCATATTTGCCGCGCGTATAAATTGGGATACAGCCAGGTAGCCCGCGGAAACGCGCGTTTGTCGCATGGTTTTTTATCGCGTATCTCATATGCGACAAACACGCATATTCGATACACCTAGGTGTGAACCCAGCCTAAGTGTTGCTTAGTGATGCTGCTAGTCTCATCCACCTAACAACCGCTCAGTGTCTGCAACCCCCCTCTGCCAATATCTCCACTGCCTTTCAATAGCCCAAAGGATAACATTCAAAATATTAACAACTAATTGCAGGGGATGAGTCAGCTGTCACAGGAGACCACTCGCTCAGCCTCTTGTGACAGCCAGTCATGATGGAGAGCGGTAAAAGCAGTCAGTGATCGGCGATCACTGACTGTTTGTATATAATTGAGGACATAATATGTTTACTGTGTCCTCAATCATGAATGAATAGGAAATGATCTGTATCACTTTCTGTTCATTAATGATTGTGGACATGGTACACATAATATCTCCACAAGTTATGAATGAACGGGAACACTCAGTATAAAGGCTTCCTGTTCATCTGTTCATTTATAACAGGGGATACAGAAAAAGAGAAAAGAGATTGAGGACTCAATCCCTTTTTCTATTTTAAAAGGGAAATATCAGGGATCTGTTTAGACCCCCCGAAGTCACACTTATTATTAAAAATAGGAAAGGAAAAGGAGTGCATGTTGTTTGTTTTCTCAATTCTAGTGCTGAACACAGCCATGTCACTCAAGCAATGAAGATATGTTAGAACTTGAATTGGTGCATCCAGTAACACTAGATTACTAACACAATACGGAAAAAATTGTGCACATCAGAGTCCCTTGTTTACATCAGAGTCGTCCTTCTTTCATATCTCCACTTTTCACATCAGAGTTGCCCTTTCACATCAGAAGCCTGTCTGCACCATGGAAATGCATGACACTGTGTAAAAATTTCAAACCACCCCTAAAAAAGCCAGAAGGCACGCCAGGGGGGCCACAACAGCCTGGTTGAGCAATGCTGCTGTAAGCTACACATGTAACATGTAGTGAACCATCTGATGCCTATTCACACCTCACCATAGAGTCTTCCTTCACGTGCTACAGCAGAAGATGTATCAACCATCCTGCTTTTTTCTCCATGCTTCCATGGCAAACATGTTATCTCTTGGAGTACTGATGTCTACAGAAATCTTCCTAGAAGATGTAATTCCACAGTGGCTATTTCAATGTCCAAATATTATATGTAATGTATTCTACATAAGTAATTAGAGTTCATTCTTTCAATTGTGTGTCTTATGAGTAGACACAACTTGATGGCAAATGACCTAATATGGATGGTTTGACTGTCTTATGCAGATCATTTATGCTGATAAGAGCTCCATCAATTTATAGTGTTACATAATTTACATTCATGGATCAACAATTACATCTCCGGTGCAACAACTATTTAAATGTTTTTGTTTTGGTCTTTTTAAATCACTGTAGTCCAGTTTAGATTTGCAGGTGGAGTCTACATTGTTGCTGGGCCAGATGTTACTAGGAAATAAAACACCTGCTTCCTCATACATTGAATCTAGTTGAATAGTACTTCCTTTGCAATGAATCATAACAATAAATAAGAAAAAGAAACCAACAAGTTCTAAAAATGTTTTGTTTTTGATGTGCATATATACAGTTAGTGCATAGAACATTCTAATTAGCTTTAACATTCTAAGTAGCTTTAATATGTTGCATAAGTACAACATATTAAAGCTACTTTATGTGAAGCCCCCCACACACCCCTCCTTCCAACCTCTTCTAACTAATAAGTGACATTAAAAAAATGCACTTTAACTTAGCTAAATCCTTATTCATAATATGCTCCGGTCCAGAGTCTTCTCTTCTACAAAGCACAGAAGGAAGGCCCTTCTTTGAGCGTGGAATTACTGTCTGCGTGATATAAACACTTTCTATTGGCTGTCCAGAGACGATGTTCACTCAGGATACAGCAAATAGACTAGCATGATTACATCAGCACTAGGGGACCGGCCCCCACAGGCATATCCAGAGCTCTGGATTACCAGTTAACCGCACCTTAGAAACACTAGCCTGGTGAGGGACACGAACATTGGACTTAGGTGAGTAGAAAATGGTTCACAAGGTATTAAAAGGAATTATAAATAGGTTAGAGGAAGACAGGAGAGAATAGCATAAGATAGATTACCTTATGCTTGGAGATGGGCTTTAAATAACACTGTGTCCATCTTCTCTTGAGGTTTATGTCTGTGCAAAAAAAAAACCAAAAACTATTCAGTACATCTCCTCAAAACCTACACATCAAGTATAGAAAATACCTGTTGATTCTGTCAGAAATCTAGTGAGCGTGAACATCCACTATTGAGGTGACAGTGTTGCCTCTGCTGCACTGAGGTCCCAATCAGTGTTGTCAGCCATGTCCACCTGCACTTTATGAGATAGACATGAGGAAAGGGAGAGGTGTTCTGTAGTCTAGCAGGAGAAAACTCAGATAGGGATTTACTTGCAGGATTATTAAATAGACAATACATAGGAATATATGGTTGTATTGCAGAGATGTACTGCATATGTTATTTTAATTATTTTGCCTAAACATACATTGTTACCGTCTTCAGTATATACCTTAAAAGGGTTTCCTGCCTTCCTGCACCCATGGATTTATCCACAACCCCCTTCAACCTCTTTTTAGTTAAATGCTTGAGAACCAAGTCTTGCAACCCTTTTTGTTATCAGTCATCTCAAGGCCCCACTCACATATACAGTGGTGACCTGCATTTTACCAAACTGGATCAACGCAGGCCACCGCTAGAACAAATGTTTTTCCATGTGCCCTGTTCACACCACAACATGGGTGTGATGGGCTCTGCGCTGTGCTATGGAAATATGCAGAGCAGGGGTAGGTAACTTGGCACTCCAGTGGCTGTGAATCTACAAGTCCCACAAGGCATTGCTTAGAATATCCCATGCTGCTAAGATGGAAAAGCTCATATGGTGACATTTTGGCCATGTTTAAAAAGCGGTGAGAACAGAAGTAACAAATTTGTCCCTGTAAGTTTAGCATCTTAAACTCTTTTAACTGAAAGAGAAATTTAAAGAAGGATAAAAAAAATAATAAAAACAACAGACCTGGCCAAGCAGTAGATGAATGCCACAGCTACAGAGGTGGTTTTCAATAGCTTAAACATGGTACTGAAATGGCTAGTGATAACCTGTTAAAAGTAGCAACTGACCACTGCACAAATGAAACACATGGCTCCCTGTGGTGTGTTACACATCTGAAGGAAAACTATTATTTGTTTTGTGGTTTTAAGAAACATTCTTTGTTAACCATAACTTATAATCAATTTTCTGTACAGCCTTAAAGTAGTATTAAATGCTCAAACCTTTTCCAGATCAAACAAATATGCATTGCCCAGCAAAGTATTTCTTTACATTTTTTCTACCAAGCACTTACAGTTATGTTTCTGTACAGCTCCAACTCTCTCAGCTCAGCTTCTCAGAACTTCCTGTCCAGTACAAGATCACAAGGGACAGAGCAGACTCCAGCAACTGTTCATCTACTAGCTTGGAGAAGGGAGTAAGGAAGACAGACAGCTTACGAACACACACAAGGGTGGCTCCATAGGACCCTGCAATGGGAAGGAGCCACCCTAAAACAGGATGTCAGGGCCAACTGATTTTCAGGAAGCTAAAACTTTTCAACACAAAGACATAGCATCCATTGTACGTGTTTTAATCAGCATTTGGGATAGCTTAAAACCCTTTTGACTTTAATATCACTTTAACATGCCTGTACAGAGATAGAGATATAGAGAGCATTGAGTCATGCATATCACATACTGTACAAACAGAGGGTTTTCTGTCACAGTCTGAAAAACATACAGTATGTGGCCAGTGTTGGCCTATAATATGCAAGGCCTACCAGTAAATTAGGTCATCAAAGCTCACCACAGGCATGAGAAAAATATATGTTAACATGACATGTTTCATCATTGCAAATGCAGAGCAATATTGCAACTGTATTTAACAATTGTAAATCATTAAGGGCCCGCTTCAGAATCCTCGGGTAGAATAAGAAGTGTGATTTAGGCAGCAATTGTGATAAACTGTAGCAATATCTATAATATATCAGATTATATGTTCAATCAGATTTTAAAGTAAATGTACGCCATTACTGAAAGACAATGACAATGGAACACTTACCTACACGTTATACAATCCGTTGGAAGCCCCTTTGACAGGGTGACAGAGCAGAAGAACAATTGGTACACTTGGACAGAGCATTGTCACTTTTTAACAAGAAGGACCTGAAAAAGGATCTTCATGATAGGATCACCTGGAGTGTCTTGATCCAACGCTGCAAATGTAAAGAAATTATTAATGACTTTTGAAATTACATTGACATGTTACAACTGATATGAGATTTAGGTGACTGGGTTGACATATGCTTTAACACC